GGGAAACAAAAAAATAGAAAATTCCCAACGGATACTTTTGGACTGAAATTGCTCATTTCCAGTTGGTGCACGATTTCTTTGCCAGCGCAAGTTTTTTTTGCCTTTAGGGTTTCAAAACATGCCGCGTCCGCCGTTATTTCAAAAAAAAAAAAAAACACCCTCTCACTTTTGCGAGATTTGCTTTGACTAGCAGCAGCGTTGACCAACTAGTGTATAAACTCGAACACACGGGTGAGGACTACATCCCTGACCACTGCAGCTGTCCCACTCATCAAAGATAGCAAGTATTTCTTCAGAAAGCCAATAATATGAAAACCGCACAGATGATGGCAGTAGTATGAAAACCACACAGAGGATGGGCTGGGTGCTGGTAGAGTGTGGATTGAGTAAAGGCACAGGCTCCAGCAATATAGATGGGCCTCTAAGAGGAGGTGCCGTGGGAAATGAACACACCACCTGTTCAGTGCAAACGCACAATCCTTTTTTTTTTTTGGGGGGGGGAGGGGGGGGGAGGGGGGCAAACTTCGTTGCAGGTTGTTTGTGGGTAGAAATAGGCTTTTGGACTGGTAAGTACACCCTCCAAAAGTGGCTCCACACATTACAGTGGCTCCACTATGTTGATGGGGAGCTGCACCTGCTTGGAACCAGTTTCAGCATCCCATCACCAACATCAGAGCGTATCTGCACAAATGAGAACAGCATTGATTGCCCTCTGGCGAGGGGATTGATTGCTCTCCATGATATCAGTAAAAGCATAGACCACAGAGCACGTATGTACGCGGGAGGACATGAGGCAGACTGCGGTAAAACAGGCTGTCCGAAGACACACAGGGGTATGGAGCTTAGACCAGCATACTTCACAGCACAAGACCAAGTGCTCGAAGGAACTCCAAGCTTAACTGCATTAAGAGCTCAAATACGAAGCCAACAGTCAGAATGAGTTCAACCATCGAGTCATCTCAGCAAAGCTCACACTTCATACCAGTCTCAATCTCCACACCACCATAGCTCGTTCTCCCTGTAAAAGACATAGCAGAACACTTGTACAGGTTTCATTGGCCTATTATGCGGAATCATCAGGAAGGTGTACTCTGCACGAGTACTTGTGTCGAACAGAGGCCGATTCCTTGCCTCTGTAGCCTATTTATCCTCGCTGTCCGCGCACCTCGTATGCAAAAAATCTAATTCCTGCAATCCTAGCGGCTTGGGCTATAGCGTCTATTCCGAAGTAACAATATGCTATCTCAATAGTCCAAATCACAAATCGTATCCGTTCACGAGACAGACGGCTTCGCCGACAAACAAAATAATTCGAGCAAAAATTAACCTCTTGCCAGAAGATTACCTGCCCTCCATGACGTAACTGTAAATGTAATCCACAGTAGATCTGATTATGCCTTCTGGCAAAACCGCCACCCCCTAGCGCAGCCACCACCTGATCTTATCCGCCTCGCCCCCTCAAATAGGCCAGATCTCCTGATATCCCCAGTCATGTGGAGACCCCACTGCCCCTCCCCATGCCCCAGCTCATGGGAACAGAGTCAACAGATCCCTGCCCATCCCACTCTGATCCTCTGCTCACCTAGGTAAAGCACAAACTGAAATCAAACCCCGAACTCCCTCCCTTTCTTTTCTTTTTTTTTGTTTGTTTGTTTTTTTGTTTGTTTTTTTGTTTGTTT